TCGTCTGCTTCCCTGCTGCGACCCCGTCCCCGCCGGTACGGCTGCCCTGCTCTGCTCGCCGGAAGGTTGCCTGCTGGGTGCCTTTTGGGAGGGCGCCTTTACACTCGGTGCCTTGTCTTCTGACGGAGCCTTTGATTGTGAGGTGCCGGGTCTCGTCGGGGCGTCCTCGTACGCCTGTTCCCCCTCGTTGTCGCTGGTGATGTCCGATATCAGCGCCGTCGAAGCGGCCGGATCATTGTCTCCTGGCATTGTGGCGTCTTTATTGTTGGTCCTGTGTTAACAGTAACCTGGGTATCGATGAAAAGGGGACTGAAATGGGGGGTATCTTGTCAAGAAAAGAAATGACAGAATGATAGCTCTTGTACGCGCGCGCTAGACGAACTGCAACGACGACGACAGAAAAATGATTAAAGCTAGCTCAGCTCGGCTTTTGGGGTATGACAGCAGAAAACCAGAGCTCACACCTTACCGTTCGCTCCCAACACAGAGGCCCTGGGATGAGAGACGTCGACTACTTCAATGGAAAGGTGTTCACTGGAAACATGGGAGCAGTGGGCGCAGATCCAAAGCGCACGTCCGCCCGCGCCGTCGCAACACGAATCATGAGGGGAGCATGAAATGCATCGCGACATCAGACGGATGCCTGACCGGCCGGTCCCTGGTTTCGAAAACGTGCCCAGGTTGTATCTGAGCCCATTATTCCATAGGATGTTCCTTTTCGGGCCCCGAGCAGCATCAGCAGCGGTGTCCTCGGATGCACCCCCTCGACGCCCCCCCTGGGCGACGGCACTGCTTGCTCGTCGCGTGATTGGCACAGGTCAACGTGTGGTGTTGGCTCTTGGTGGATGGTTTCTGCCCCTTGCCAGCAAACTTTGGCCGGCATAAACCCAGAGCTTCGTCTCAATAAGCATCAGCAATGCTACAGACTTTACTTGTCTGTGTTTCTTGTGCAATGTGCAGGAGGGGGGCGAGGGCAAGATGGCTAGGAAAGGGGAGGAAGGGAAAAGGGGGCTACTAGTTTTGACAAGACGGCGCCGTCTACCATCCCCTGCGACGACGGACGCGGCCAAGACCTTTCAACTTCTGTGAGACGACATGTTAAACGTATGGTTTTTCCGGGATCCAGCCGCAGCCGGAACCTGAACTTTCGGGGGTATTTGCCTCTCCACGATCGGCACCGGACTCCGTTGCGGAACGTCGATTAGCTCCCGACACAGGGGCCGTCCCTGGCGTCCTGCTTTGGCCCAGCCCCGGCGCAGACAGCAAGCAACAAGATTCAGCCGCGCAGCAATTGGCCAGAAGCACTGAGAGGGAAAAAGAGACCGGCGAACCCGGGGCTTCCACGTTCTTGACTCGAGCCCAGAAACGTCTTTGCTCGGTTGTATTGGTGTCTAGCGTCAAACGCTAGTGCGGAGTCAAGTCCGGACATCAGAGCACAAACTGCGAACCCGGCAGCAAACAGAACAGAGCGCAGAAGAGACCAAGCAACTCGCAGTTCAACTGGACGATTTGCTGAATTGGGGGCCTCGCCTGACGGGAGCTCTGGCATAGACGTACGTACCTACAAGGCGTGAGCTGATCCCAGCGGGTGGTGCGCCAACCAGACGAGCTTCCTTCATCCCAGAGCTTGCCCATCTTTCCTGGCTGCAACCTGCGGGCCAAGCTGTAATGCAACAGTTGCTCCCATTCCTCCGTTGCGTTCCTGCCATTGTTCCATGACCCCAATTCTGCATTTCCCATGCTGCGGGACTCTCCCATGCCTGCTTCCTCCTCCATGCAGGTATGCTACGACTTCCGCCAAGGTTCTGCCCTGCGCCAATTACATAACGTGCCGTCAACACCCAAGTTGCTACAGCTTGCAGTAGTCTGACCTTCAGGAGCAGACAGTCGTGTGTGTTGCTTACCTGTGTTGGACAACCTTCCATCCTTGAACCCAGCCCAAGACCCTCAACCCGCTCTCGCGCCTGTCTGGGTGTGCTTTCCCACGTTCCGGTCCAGGATTGGGCCAGCACGACGGGTTCCAACGCAGGCAAAGCTACGCTGGGGCAGAATTTCGGACAGAAACGCTGGCCTTCTCCCGAGTGTCCGTCCAGCCCGCTGGGCCGTTACATCCCACCGCAAACCGTGAATCCGTGATCAAGATCTCTAGACTGGCTGATGAAGACAGCCATGAACGTCCGCCCCGTCACAGCACGCATGTCCTCCTTCCCCAAACCGAGATCAACCGGGGACTGATGTCGTGGTGACACAGGACACGCAGCATGACTCTCCTGTCATCCAAAGCCCCCCTCCCCCCCTTCTCTTAGTCGCGAGGGAATCGTCTCGCATACCACATCACCGGTCCAGGCCACCTGGCACCATCATCACCCTGGGATGCGCCAGTCATGAACCAAGACGGCTGCCCCGCGGGTCCCTAGGCCTCCGCCTTTGCAGGTCTCGGAGCTTATAGCTTGATCGCTGCCTGCCTTGTGGGCGCCCGCGTGTAGCAGGTTTTACGGGGACTTTTAAGGATCTTGAAATATGGATAACCCAGGCTAAGAAACCCGCCCGTCGCTTATTGACCGTCGCTTGACGGGCGCCACGCGTAGCCCCCCATTGCGCTAGCCGCCGCGCTTAGGATCTGTCAGATTCCGCTCCTATCAAACCCTGCAGGCTTGCAACCTCACCTTGGAAGATGGCGGTGGCCGATTCGCAGCGTCGCCATCCATCTGACACCCAATCTCGCATCCTCATTCAAACGACAATTTACCCGTTCCTACGTATGTAACGATGCAATGCACACGTGTCCGGCCGCCGGCCCGCTCGTGACGCTGGCAAGACAAGCTGCAGCCATCAGACGCTCCGCCGTTGCGCTACCGCCATGACACTAGCTGATGGCTAGATTGCTCCCGACATCTGCCTCCGATGCATCAAGAATGATTCCAAACCCGTTCCATGCCTAAGCGAAATGCACTTCCGTAGCTTTGGCCGCGTTCTAGATGGACGGGAGAAGACTTAGACAGGCTTCAGGTGTACAGACGTGTGTCACATTGAAGATGGGCGAACGCGACTCATGGAGACAATCACCGTGCAATGCAGTCAGAGCACCGCTGCGCCGGGTCGGGTCTCGGTCGTTACATCCTCAGGGCTGAGTTGCAGCACAAGCGTAGTTTCTCCTCTTTCGTTGAAACCTGGAAACTTATTCTTCGGGAACGATCCCCTTCGTGGAAGTTAATCGATCAAAAATAAATCTTGTTCCCGAATCGCTTTTCGGCACGACTGTCAGTATTGGGTAAAGTGGACTTGCGGCACGGCTTCACCTCACGGATCCATGGGCCGTCTGTGAGAATGGTTCATCGCTTCAGACACATACACTTGCCATCGCACCCGCACAGGGCAAGCGATCTCTCTCCAAACACGTGTTTGGACCTCTGGCGTGCAATAACTTGGGCACGTTGGGCAGCAAAATCTTTCACCGACACAGCAAAGGGGGAGATGTTGTCGGCTGCTCCAAGGACGGGCGGTTTCACGACGGGAGGCTTGCGGGCTTGGCTTCATTCGAGTGGGGACTGAGTCGGTCGAGCCGGCTTGGACCGGCGCCGTTTCGAGTCGGAGGCGGATGCTACCTTAAATGCATGGTTTGGCATATGCTGGCTGTTTGCTAATTAGCGTTGATATCTCTTCGTCTAGTCTTCCTTCCGCAAATTTCTAAGAAAAGGTCGTGACGTTAAGATCAAGTAAGATGCATTCATTGACTGTTAGGTATACGTCAATTTAGGCACCGCAGCCAGATCAGATTCCATTCTGCAGCATGCTTGTCGCGTCGATCCCGCCCGTCGTGCCGTTGACGATGATCCACAAGGCTTGTAACCCGAAGACCAGGACCCACGCTCGTTCCAAGTGTAATAATTCTAGCATCCTTGGCGCACAAAAGTCGCCTAGCTTGAAATTGCCAACCAACACATTTAGAAACCTGTCGGATCCAGGCTGTGTATCTCACAGTCATGCAGAAACTTTGTGATTGCGACTGTAGAACAAAGATTTCCTTCCCATGTGCTTGTTTGCAAAGCTTCGATAGCATTCGCAAGTAGAGAAATACCACATGTGAAGACACAGTCCGTAACACAGCCGCATATGCCAGGCGCTTCGCGGGCGGTTGCAACAGGCAGTTATCAATACTACAATCAATAGCCAATGAATTCGACCAGGATGTTTACAGCTGAACAACGACATGCAAGCCACGACGGGAATCACCCAATCAATCGCACAATGACTGCCTGCCAAGGCATACTATTGAATGTGCCAAATAGCTCAAATACTCGAGCTTCTGTCTGTCTTCAAATGATTTCAATTCGTTTTCTTGCGTCATATTTCTGTTGGCCCAACCGGAAACAAGTTCACAAGCAATCATGAGCTCTTCGCCATCTGCCGACTCACCACTTGGTCGGGCACTTGACGACATGTCAAATCTCCAACCCTTTCAATATGCCCCACTTCCAACATCTACAAGCATTCGACTCATTGAGATCCTACCCTCGACTACAGACGCCATTCGGTGCAGAATGACAACCGTAGATCTCGGCGAGCAACCTCCGTACGTCTGTCTATCTTACACCTGGGGCAGCCCGACAACCATCATCGAGGAGCCAGCGCCTGAACCAGAAGAATACAAAAACCCAGAAGACTTCATCAAGCTCCCGTTCGTGTTTGAGTCAAAGGGACCAAGTGGTATCACGATACACAACACTGACTATGCCATGAAATACTACGTCGAGAGACACCCATGGATTCCCCGAATGAGACTCGACACAGCTCCAAAGGAACAGCAGCCGATGGAGCTCGATGGCAGGCTGATCTATGTGCAGGAGAACCTGTATTGCTTTCTCAAGGAGTATGTTTCTTGGAAGCATGGGTTGCAGAACAGGCCGAAACCAGAGAACGGAGAAGCAGCGGATGGGGATCAACGCGAGCTTTTCAACACTGACGACTTTATAAACATCCACGGAAGGGCGAGTGAGGGCATGGACGGCCTGTCTTTCACAAACGCGATCTGGAGCCTTGTGTTTCGTCTTCGGAAGGATGGAGAGAGAATGTACATGGAGGTCCCTCCTCTTCTGCGCGTCTTAGGCTTGTTTCGAGGTACAGACGCAACCGATCCGCGCGACAAGGTTTTCGCCTTTCTCAATATCGCGTCAGACGCAGATCAACTGGCTTTGGTACCGGATTACAAGGCCAGCGTACAGAGCGTCTTCAGGAAAGCCGCCGAGGCGATCCTCAGAACGACAAAGTCACTGTCGATTTTCTCGCAGGTTCAAGAGCCCTGCGACACACAGATTCCCCATTTGCCAGGGTGGGTGCCGGACTTCAGCGCCAGACTTTCCTGCACGCCCCTCGACACAGGAGATGACGACGTGCCGTTCTGCGCCTCAGGGCCTGATAGCGAAGCATGGTACGATATTCATGATGACGATACGATTGAGGTCGAGACTATCGAAGTGGATTTCATCATGACCAGCGAGATGGCTGGCGATAATGCCGAAGACCTACTCCTGTGCGTGTTGAAATCAATGCTCAGAGTTCCGCACCAATACCCAATTGGGAAATTTGAGATACAGCAGGTTGATGTGCCTGCTGATGACGAAAGTATGTCGGAACGAGCTGAAGCAATACCTCCTCGAAACACACAAGTGAGTCCGAATGATGTCTTGCCAAGCAGGAATACTCCTGAGGTCCAAAGTAAGCAGCTCGACTCGAGTACAGTCGAACATCTGCAAGAATCCACGGTATATCAGTCAATATTGCAGAACAAGCAGCCTTTTCATTCCGAGTCTGTCGGTGAGTATTCCGCAACCCTTGGTGAGGGGGACAAACTCGACGTCGAGGCTGGACGGGGTCTCGATGATATCGCGGTACGAACTGCGGACGCTAGTTCGAGAGAGAACGACGGGCTCGACAGCGTACATTCCAGCGTGGGGCGAAGCGAAACGTACGAGACACGACCCGTCACTCGGATTGAAGCTATGTGGCGAACGTTAGTCGGAGACATGCTCCCTAGCTCCAGGATAGGCTTTAACCCTGACCCCAAAAGGTTGATGACCCATCCAGCACCGCCTTCTCTCGGACATGGATTCTCTAGTTGGATCGTGGCCGGCGTTCTTGAGATGTGGTATCTGTGCCAAAACTTCGGCGCAGACAGCCAAGTTACGGGCGCTGCTTGGCGGCGTGTACTGACGACACTATCTGCCTATGCCGCAATCTATCGTGAGCGACACATTCCTTTAACAAGAGAAACAATTGAGTTCAGCCTTGAAGCGGACACCATCGAAGAATTGGCTGCGAAGGAGGAAGAAGAGGAGAACTGGATTGGCTTTGCTCTCAGCAACCACAACTTTTTTCCTTCGGCGTCCAGGCTCAGAAGACTCTTGAACGGACCAAAACCGGCGGGCGACCTTCGAGGTTACGACGGTGACCCGCAAGCTGCAATCAATGGGCAGTGGAGGGAGCAGGCGTTGAAGATCTTCACCAAGAAGGAACGAGAAGACATCGACTCTTTTAAGAAAAGGATGAAAACCATGCTCAAAGGCAGAAGACTGTTCGCGACAAGGTCAGGCCTTCTAGGGGTTGGGCCTCGGTCCTTGTTTCAGGAGACGAACTGCGTTTACCAAGTGCATATCATGAAGGGTGCCAAAGTTTCATACGCTCTCGCAAGCTACGATGACGGAACTTACCGGTTGATTGGTGAAGCCTACGTACATGGAGTTATGCATGGAGAGTTGCTTGAGCACATGAGTGATCTCCCATGGTGTAAATACCAAAGGATTCGGCTTTGATAGCTAGAAAGTGAACGTATTTTGAGGTGCTCTGGGTGATTTCCGCCTGCGTGTGGTAAGATTGTTGCTGGCAGAGAGACTCCGCATGATGCCCATCTCTCACCACGGCGAGTCTAAAATCTTAAACCAGCATAGTCTATAGATCATGCCATTACAGGTATGTACCCTCAATTGCATTGCAAGGCCTTGCTTTCTTCGCTGCAGAGTTGACCCAAAGATTGATCCACTGTGCTTACTCTCAAATCCGTAGACCCCTGTTCAAGTAAGTCTTGAGTGGCTAAAGTGATAAGGGCTTCTGCAGCCCCACGGCGTTGGTGATCGCGGCCCAGCTTCACTTGGATCTCCAACCAATCAATTATCCCCATCCGCTGGCTGTGCAGTCCAAACACCTGTTGGATCTGCGGTTGCTGCATCGGAACTCTGCCTCCACAAAACGGGTTACCCCTGTCTTTTGCCTAGGCAGCCGAGCCTCGTTGCTTTTATCATATCTGCCCACTCAGCCCGCGGTTTTGTCTTCCATTGTCATCCATTTCCCACACGCCAACGCAACAGATATTCGATCAGCTGTGTCTTAGTGCGGCACCCCAATGCCTTCCCTTCTAGATCGTTCAAGACCTTCCAGGCTTAGCCGCGGATGGCTAGGGCTCCCGACAGGTTGGCACCGTGCGCCGATCGTCACTATTTGCCTTTTGTCGATATGTTTCCTGGTTCTTCTCGGTATATTGATCGCTGCAATATCCAAAACTGGAAATGTGGCACAGGTCTGGGAGTTCTACACAGCAGACTGCACAAGTAAGGATCCCAGCGCTACCAATACTATGCTTCATCTCCTTCTCAACATTCTCTCTACGGTCATTCTCGCCTCTTCAAGTTTCTTTATGCAAGTCCTGAACTCCCCGTCTAGAAGGGAGGTGGACAAGACACACGCCAAAGGCGACTGGCTCGACATTGGAATACCCTCGTGGCGGAACGCTTTCCGACTTTCAAAATTCAAGCTCTGGAGTTGAAATATTCTTCTTCTTAGCTCGATTCCCATACATGTCTTCTTCAACAGTTCCATCTTCCAAATCGACAGCCGCATGGGCGATTTTCATCTGACGATTGCCACCGAATCCTTTGTGGAAGGCAAACCCTTTTTCCTTCCTGGAGCAAGCCTTTATACCGAAGACCTCTTTTCAAACTACACCCGGCACGAACGGTCGAATAACACGCCTGCCTTTGGAGATAGTCGGTCTTATGACTTTCCAAGCCTATACTGCGAAGCTACTGGACTGGGCACTGACCGAGGTGCTTTTACTGCTTTTTCCCCTACTGTGAAAACCCCTACTGTGAAAACCCTTACTGGGTGGGCTCGAAACTTCCTCAACATGACTTTCCAAGCCTAGTTGTTCGACCGCGATTCGACAGACATATCGAACGTCGCAAAAGCAGCGGAACAGGGGTCGCAATGGCACAGATTGAGTACAACTGAGTGCAGTTCCCTCTATGCAGGTTTCAGGTCGAACTGCAATGGGTTTAGGGAATATCGAAATGTCATCCTTGTCTCCAAAGGTTCCGCATGGAAGAGATCCGATCTTTGGAACCTTTCTGACTCGGGAGATGCCCTTTGGGAACCCGTGGTGCCAAGCAACCATACGAACACTCTATGGCTCTCCACGCCATGCAGTATGAAAGGAATCATCGTGGAGAACAATCCAGTCTGCGATAATACCTGCGCCGGCTCAGTAAACGCTTTGAGTGCAGAAGGAATCTGGCAGATCGAGACGTTTGATTGGTACCAGATATCATCAACTCCGTACTCCGCGCCTGGGACTCCGAATTTCACGGATCCTCTTGAGGACCCCTAGATGGAATTCGTCGCTGTATGTCGCGCCGGGAAATGAGTCCACGCCGGCCTTTGCATATCGGGATCCCTCATATAAGCTTGAGATTGAATACTGCCTTGCAGAAACTAGGGATCTGAGCAATGCTTGCGGTGTAGCTCTCTCGAAACCATTGCTTCTTATCGTCCTCGTTTCAGTGTTGGTCAAGCTCATTGCCTGCGTTGTAGCGATCTATTTCCTTGGCTCCGAAGAGCCCCTCGTAACCCCCGGTGATGCTATTGCATCTTTCATCTCTCGGGCCGGCGGGACGGGTGACCAGTCAACTTTCTCGACTCAGCGTGTGGCGGAAGGAGAATTTAAGACGAGGAAGAAAAATAATACTGCGTACCAACAGGTGGGACCCAGAAAATGGGCCAATTGGCATTTGAAAGTCGGCGCTAACATATCCTCCAAGGCTTGGATTAGCACTTACAGTATCTTGGTCTTCGGTGCTGTTGCCGCAATTACCTGCTGCGCCAAGCAACTTGTTGACGGTATTCCATTGTGAGTTGACCCCGGGTGTCAGATGTTTTCCGATGCATTTATGATGGCTAAGATCCCATTAGGAGATGGATAAAGACCAACCCTTCGGATGCGACGAGTGTGCTCTCTGCTGTAGACGGTGGTGTAGCATTTATCTCATCGGTACTCGTCGCCAACATCCCTCAATTGTACCTCTCACTGTGGTATCTCGCCTACAACACGCTTATCACGCGTATAGAAATGGCTAGAGAATGGGCACGCTTCTCTACTTGGTATCGGCCGTTCCGCATGTCGTTTCCAAGGTAATCAGATCCTTGTCTTGCTTGGAGTCTCAATATCCATAAATACAAAGACTAACGACTTGAAGAGGTCAACAGATTGACACATACAGGCTGCAGCTGCCCTACAAACAGAGCATCCCTCTAATTACAGCGAGTATAGTGCTTCATTGGCTGCTTTCAAATTCCTTGTTCATCATTGTAACACAAGGCAGTCAGTTGATTTCCTCTCATTGCTTGATTACTACTAGTAGAGATGCTTACGCAATAATGCACTAGACTACTTTGAAATGAGTATGGATAGGACAGATGGAGGATACAAAGGAGATCCTATCAGCCTTCCCCCGAACACAGTTGTCGGACTTGGAACGGCGTCCTTGCCAGCATTGCTTCTCGCAGTTATTGGATGCATCATGATGATCATACCCATCATTCTTTCTAGACAGCAGATACCAGGCTATATGCCTGTAGTTGGATCGAACTCTATGGCGATGTCCGCTGCATGTCGTGTCTCACCGATAGCCAAAATCCCCACTTGGAATGACGATGATGACCCAGGCCAAGCAACTGAGCTGGAGGAACTGAGACCATCATCAAGCATTGCGGTTTCGGAGTTAGAACCGGGCGCTGCCGGTCAGCCCGTCGACATGCCCCTCGTTCTCCTGAAATGGGGAGAGGTAGAAATGCCAAAGGATTGGCACGAGGGAGTCGAGCTGGATGGGCAAGAGGCAGCAGGTATTGGGCATCTGAGTTTCGGTACAGTCTCAGACGATCCGCAACCCCCAAAGGAGGGTCGCCTTTACGTCTAATGACCTCGATTTCAAACACCAGGTGGGGTCGATGAAGCGAATCGCGGAACTAGTCCAGTAGATGGATGCTCGGCTAAAAAATGTTATGTTCAAGCGTGGTAATCGTTACGGTCGCGGAAAGTATTAATGCTACCGAAGTCCGGACGCATTCTTTCCCAACGTTGTCGACTGTGTGACTTGCACCCCGCTGGGATGGACAGGCGATCTCCATGATTGATCCAATGGCGCTCTGTTTGGGATTGCTTTGCGGAAATATTTGCACATCTGCACAATGTCGCCGGAGGGGCCCCTGCCGATGCGAATACACGCGACGTAGCTTTCTTCCTTTAATTCTTCAGCAAGTTGAGGCGGGATTGACGTGGGTTTTGAGCAACCTAGCCCCTTACTTCCTGACTTCACAAAACATGCCATAAATAGCCCCCGAAAGCAAAGAAAAAGGCACAAACATCTGGAAGATCGTCTGTTGCCGAAATTATTTTTACTTAGACTCTTCGACAATGGTTTCCAGGATTCAGTACTCGGTGCGTCAAGAGGCATCTAGAGTCTTTTGCGAAGGAATTTTGAACAACCCCTTGGTCGGTCCCCATTCACCGGAGCTTTTGGCCTTGAGCACGCGCATTCGATTCGAGGGTTCTGACCTACCGAGCGTGCCTACTAATTGGCGGTTTGCCGAAAGCATTTCGGCATTGGAGGCATACGAAGCTCTTTTGCTGATGCAACTCCTGTCTAAGAAATATGGTGTGAGGAATATCGAAGTTACGATCAATACATGAGAGTATCCCGATCGTTGATTGCTTGCCGATCGTCACAGTCTCATGAGCATTCTAGGGACCATGCGACGTTATTCTTTATGACGCCAATGGTCGCTTCCGTGGTCCAAGACGGAAAACGCATCCCATTCGGCCCCATATCTCCGGAGACTCAAAAGCTTTTCCCGAATGAGGACAAGCATCGTGCCGTCGATGTTTTGCATAGGACCTTGACGACCAACATTTACAAGACACGTGATGGCCGCTATTATCACATCCACGGCCTGCTTGCACCCTTCATCTGCGTCGTAATGGAATCTTATCTGAATGGAATAGGTAGCATGAACCCGGGACCGACGCTGACAGCGCTTGGCCTACCGTTGGAAGGCGAGCCCGATGATACGTATGAATCCGTCGTCCGCAGGTTCCAGGAAGTTGTATCCCAACTCGATTCGTCTGATCTTAACGAGCTCATGAACGAGCAACATCGGCAAGCTGGCACTATTGCCTATACCGCAGATGAATACTCCGCGACCGAGCAGGGACAGCAATGCGCCAAAGTTGGAATTTATGAGCTTTCAAAGGATTCAGAGTCTGAGGAGCCGGCGAGTTGGTGGCCTGAGACAGTTCCTCAGAGTTCAGACTCGACTTCCATCAAACCGCTCGCAGGCCTGAAAGTGATCGATTTGACACGCGTCATTGCCGGCCCAGCTATCAGTCGCAGTCTTGCAGAGATGGGAGCTAGTATGATGAGAGTGACCTTACCCAATATCACGGATCTCTCAGCCCTTCACCAGGATTTGAACTGGGGAAAATGGAACTGCCACCTAGACCTGAAGAAGTCTGGTGATAAGGACAAGTTACGAAAGCTGATATGCGACGCTGACGTTGTAGTGGATGGGTATAGGCCTGGTGTCATGGAGCGCCATGGTTTTGGTCGCCAAGCCATATACGATCTTGTCAAAGACCGGCTTCGCGGCATCATCCATGTTCGGCTGAACTGCTATGGGTCCCATGGACCTTGGAGCCATCGAAGCGGTTGGCAACAAATGAGCGACGTAGTAAGCACACCTTTTTACCTTTTTTATTACTCTTCTGACTATCTACAAGTGCTGCGGTGTGTCTATGGCCTACGGCAGAGCCATGGGCCGCGACGAAGCGGTAGCCCCTGTGTTTCCGAACTCAGACTATTGGAGAGTTTCCTCCCCGGGCGCCACTTACGTTTAACTCAATTGCATAATAGTACCGGCGTGTGTGGTAGCGCTGCCGTTCTTGACGCACTGGTGAGGCGGTCAGAACAAGGTGGCAGCTACGGCATTGATGTGAGCAATCCAAGCTGGAAGTCATTTGGCACACATTGACAACATTATGTCTGAACAGGTCGCACTCAGCTACTATTCGCAGTGGCTTGCTCGTTCATGCGGCACGTATCGGGAGGATGTTTGGACAGAGCTGTGGCAAAGACACGGCCCACCTGTGTTCCGTCACGACCGTGCGATGAGCTACTTGCTCCCATCGGTGATGAAGCTTCATCGAGAGCATGATGCAGCGATCCTGTTCAACTTCGAAGATCGCCATGCCGAGGTGATCACCACGACCTTTTCTCAAGTGAAACCAATCGCTCAATTTACGACGGGTGGTGTCCATTTGGGGTATCAGGTTGGGACACGTGGTAATGGAGTTGATTGTCCGAGATGGCCGACAAGTCTTTCCGTGGAAGTGGTGACCAATAGCAACTAGAAACTGGGACCGTGAATATGAAGGCCTGTTTACTTTGACTAGGATACAAAGTATATTTGAGTGTTATCTTAGTTACCGAGCAAGAGTACGTCGCGAAGAATGGTCGCGTCCAATGTAGAAAAGAAGCAAAGCAGGTCAAGACCACCGCATCCAGCACCGTCGTAAAGGTCTCCAAGCCTAGCACCCAAGAATAGAAATTGGGGGTTGTCAAATGACAAGATGGACAGATATTGCAGCCCATCTAGAGGTGTCCGTTGACACACAACTTGCAGTTGTTGGACTGTGAGAAAAGTCAGCAATGTGGATAACAGTCAGTTAACTACCTAACTCACGGCGGACAAGATGCTGGCAACGACGGCGGCCGTGCACTTTGAGTCTTCCTTGACATCTACTCCAGAGTCAGTGTTTTGTGGCCTCCGAAGATAGGAGCCATTGCTTACCAAGGCCACGAGCGGCAATTGCCCACATGCAAGTAACACCACCTGGGGTAAGGGATCCAAGGCAGCCTAGAACTCAAGTTAGATGAGGCACTTGGGCTGACATTTTGGGTTCTTACTGAAGAACCGGCGCCAGCCGCAGTGCATGAAAGGCACATCGCTGCGCTTGTCGAGGTCTCTGGTCTCGACATCCAGCTCGGTGTCTAGAATGACGAATCATGTCAGTTGTGTCTCTAGTAGTGAGTAGTTTGTGCAGAAGTATGCATACCCTTGAAATAGGCTTCGAGAGCAGTCTTCCAATCCTCGGGAAGATGATCCGGGATCTCAATGTTGTCGGCGGCCCTAAGAGCAAGGGAGCTTTCCTGGGAAGGCATGTCGGCTGGCACAGCCAGAGCCAAGGGAGCCATCATCAGGCACGCAAGAACAGAGCTGAACTGCATCTTGGGTTATTATGTAAGAAGAGGTATGATTAGATGGATGCTGAAAAAGGCTTGAATTGTTGGAGTGTGATTGCTTCTGATGACCAAAACTCGAGATGTGGGAATGACGTTTCTACTACTTATACAAATCGATTGATGCTCGGTGGAACGTAACAGGACTAGCTGCGTCGATGTCATGCTGCCTGTAGTTGACGACTTCTTACAGTTGAAGCCTTCACATTCAACTAACCTAGATGCATCTCGACTTTGATCGCCTACCACGCGGTCCGTGACCACATCATCATTGGTCAAAATCACCAATTGAGTCCTGGTTTATGTCGCCATACCAGAGACAAGCATTGTTCGTTCGGAAAAATAAAGGCTTGAGTTCACTTAATGTACTTTGACATTTCGAAGCCCCAGTTGGTTCGTGGCTAAAACGTGTGATTGAGTCAAGTCGTAGCCGTGCTGCCGAGCATCCGAGCTGGAATTGATTACTTGGGGTCCACGCACTAACTCAAATTCCGATGAGGCTAGCAAAGATCCCATTCTTGTTAGAAATTGTCCACTCACACGCGGTTTGAAATCCACGAGGAGCTCGTTTCATTAAACCTTGTCAGAGTTGTCGGCTCGTCGGAGACTGGCAAAAGCATTTCCGCAACACCATCGCGAACTTTTGTCACTAGTGAGATATGAGAAATCGTGGACCATGAAAAGAACGTGAAAGATTCTAGGGCTCTCATAGGGTAGTTTCAGACGTAGAGGAAACACGAGGTCTCGATCAACGGCAACATCCAGCGTGATTCACCTTGCGACAATGAGGCCATCATCGACCGCAAAACGCACGTCAGTCGAAATGTATATAATCGCAAACCAACAACGACTGTCGTGGTTGTACCATCTCATCAGACAAACACATTCACTCCCTCAATCACAATCTTCAACTCCTCTCACTCCTTCGGAGCTTACTTTAATCACGATGGCAACCCTCAGCCGACCCTTCCTCTTCCTCCTCACTACGCTTTTCCTCTTCTACGGATTCAGCGCCGCCTTTCCCTCCTTCCCCGGCGCCCTCGAGCCGCGCTGCTGGAAAAAGGGCTGCGACCACTGCGAGCGCTGGACCGTCACCATCGACCACCCCGGCTCCTGCAACAGCGTCAACCGCGACAACCTCAAGGCCGCCATCGACAGCACCTTCGTCAACTACGCCGGCAACTGCAGAGGCGAAGAGGCTGCCTTCAACAACCAGGCTATCCCTGGCATCCAGGGCATCGGCTGCAGAGTCACTGTTCACTTCCCTCGTGGCAACAAGGGCGTCGACTGGGGTGGCCTGATTAGCTCCAACCTGGTTGGCACCGCCAGCTGGGCCATCTCTGGCACTTCGAACGATGGCAGTGTCCACTGTGGTGGCGCTTGCCAGTGGTGATTAGTTAGTCGATGCCTTTGCTTTGGCGACCGACCGCAACAATAACGACATGCGGATATGGAATGAACGGGGAGGAGGGCGGGTGATGTTTCTTGTCTGGTCTAGCTTCTCAGCTGCTTCAATTCTATAGCGATGCTCTCAATGGTCGTCGTTCTCTTAGTACTATTTTTATTGGTTCCGACCTGATGTTTTATTCTAAGGTACGAGCGATCCGCTTCGAAAATCTAGAAATCTCAATAATATTGAATCGTCGAATCGTTTGGCAATTGTAAGAGTAAGTGAGTGATCAGTTTGCTACTAATATGATAATCAATGACATGGGTGGCAAACATTGCGATTTACTTGGAAACGAGCACTGCGAACGTATTTCTGCAACGACGTTCTGCGAGACTAAATAGAATTAACCAAATGATAAAACAATCCATGTCAACTCGTTTGCAAGGTTGCAGGCAACCTATTCGCCATCATCAGCTGATTGGATCAGGAACCATATGCCACTCCTAAAATGGTAGCATCCAGCTCCACTGGCAACCTGGGCTGTTTCGCAATTCACCACCTCGTCTCAGTATACAGCGCACGAAAACGCTTGCTCTTTAACATGATTTTATTTACTTCGCCCTATGGGCTAGCCTCAGAAACCAAGGCCATAGTCATTACGCATTTTTATACAAGGTCATCAAGTCATTCATCTGGGAGCCTCCCATCGCCATTCTCCCCTTACAACTTAGCCGCATCCTTGGGGTTCTTGATCTCAACAATCAGCTTGCCCGTGTTGATGCCCTTGTACAGGTCAACCAGGGCCTGCTCGGCCGCCTTGAGGCCGCCCTTGATGATGGTCTCCTTGCGCTTGAGCTTGCCCTCCTCGAGCCACTGGGCGAGTTCCTTGCGGGCTTGGGGGTACTCCTTGATGAAGTCGAAGACGATGAAGCCCTGCATCTTGATGCGCATGGTGATGATGTTGGCGTAGTTCTGTTGCGTGTCAGACATTATAAACTAATCAAATATTGGGGACAAGAGGGCTTACCCTGGGGCCTTGAGGGGTGGCAGAGTTGTACTGGCTAATACCACCGCACATGACGAAGCGGGAGTGCTCCTTGGCGCGCGCGAGCGCCATGTCGAGAATCTCTCCGCCGACGTTGTCAAAGTAGACATTAATAAAGTCGGGCGTCGCCTCCTTGAACTTCTGCTTGAACTCGGGGTCCTTGTAGTTCAGCGCGGCGTCGAAGCCCAGCTCCTCAGTCAGCCAGCGGCACTTGTCGTCGGAGCCGGCGATGCCCACGACGCGAGCGCCCTTGAGCTTGGCAATCTGGCCGGCGACGCTGCCGGTGGCGCCCGCGGCGCCGGAGACGACGACGGTCTCGCCGGGCTGCGGGTCGCCGACGCGCAGCATACCGAAGTAGGCCGTCAGGCCGGTCATGCCGATGGCGGAGAGGTAGTCGACGGGTTGGGAGACGGCGGGGAAGGCGGAGACGGGCTCGATGCGGCTGTCGTGCAGGACGGCGTACTCGGACCAGCCGCCGAAGACGGGGAGGACGTCGCCCTCCTTGGCCTTGGAGGACTTGGAGGCGACGACGCGGCCGACGGTGGCGCCGCGCATGGTCTCGCCGATCTGGACGGGGGGAAGGTAGGATCGCTTGTCTGTATGGCGGAGGTTAGCTTTCGTAATGCTGATGAGAGCGTTTTGGGGGTATGCATACCATTGAGCCAGCCGCGCATGGCGGGGTCGAGGCTGAGGTACCAGTTCTCGATCAGGATCTCGCCATCCTTGAGGTCTTCGGCCTTGGGGACGGGCTTCTGCTCAGACTTGAAGGTCTGTCCGGGGACGATCTCGGCCTTGGGGCGCTCGGCCAGGACGATGGAGAGGTTTTGTTGAGACATGTTGGGAGGTTGTATGGACTGTACTACAAGAGAGAAAGATTCAAAGAAATTTGCCTAGAATTTGGGGGGGTATCAAACAAATAGCAAATTTAATCAACACAGAAGACTTTGAGTTTCGTAGAAGTAAATTGCTCGTGCTAGAAACGGGTGGCCGATGGGAGTTAAAGTAGTTTCTTGAGTCGTTCGGTCTCCCACGTTCCTCGGGCGGTGTTACTTACCCCTCCAAGACCATCTCACCGTGAGCCGACGCCCTTTTTTTCGCACCACATATTTTTTTTTTACCTTTGGTGCTCATGCTCATGTCATGACTTCATGCCCCGCGCCGGAGCAGTATGACGAAGAGGGACATTGGGCCGCACGAGCTCCGAGCCTCGACGAACGATCGAGGAATGTTCTCCGGCGCACGGAGCACGGACTAGTAAGGATGGGGCCTGGACGCGTCTTCAATGTCTCTGAGCTTCTGGCTGGCGAACTGCTGGCCGGTTCCCCCGGAGTCGCCGCGCAACCGCGGGGCCGCACCCTTGGCGGCGAATCGTGTGTATGGGGACGGAGATTTTCCCCGTCGGGATGTGCACCTCAGGAGGGGTCTTCTTCGGAGGGGCCCATAGTTACGACTGTCCGTCTGTGGATGAAGAGGGCTGGGTTTACTGGGTATCCGGACGGATGAATAACCTTGAGGGATTGCTACACCACCATAACAAAGAGGGGGGGCTGGAAGGCACAGCCGGAGCCTGGATTGCTCCGTGTCGATGTTTGACATGGTGGTTGCACACTTGGTTGAATCTCTGGTAATCGTTAGGCACCGGCTTGCTGCGTCTTGGCCTCCGTATCCGTTGGTGGGGCTGAATAATCGGTACATGACGCCATGCCGAGGCATGAGGGGCGGGCGTCGCGCGACAGTGACACCTCAGCGAGCTGCGAGTAATCAGTCCTGCCAGACATGGCTGCCGACGTCCTTCGGGCCTGTCGCTGCTTCAGCTTCAACGTTCAAGGGGACCCTCATGCGGGAACGGGGACGTCGGGACGGAGCAGCTGGGATGTCAGGTGGGGTGATGGTGGATGAGGCGGCGGGCCTTGCATGCCCGTTCTCGGAATTAGCAATGCGTTGTGTTGCTGTTTCACCAAGGGTAGAGAACCACAAAGACTATCTGTAACCGAACAAGGAAGCCTCCCGATGTTGTCGGTGTATATAGGTACTGTGTTCTATTCACCTCACTCCATAAACTGGGGAGAAGAAGCCACTAGAGATGCCCGTAGAGCAGCCAATTGAATGTTTTGCAATAACGAATGCGAGTGGTGTTTGAGAGAAAGAGACGGAGCTGTTGACGTGTCCGATTGGACGCCCCCATTCCTTTGGGGCTCCGTGTCTCGAAGCCGAGGCACGTTGCTAGAATTTTTCCTTTTCTTGGTTCACCGACGGTCGACGCTCCCAATGCGGTCCGGTCGACGATGCAGTTCGGCCGATCGGCCGGCTCATGGGCTGTATCAGATTCAATCCCGGTCCCGCCAATCGTGCCTCGGTATGGGGGGATCTGTCAGCACTCTGTTAGCGTCGGTCATCCTGAGCATGGGTCGGTCGATGGGCGCCCACTTTGCCTCACCGAACATACCGAGGGTCTCTCGGTCACTGCCGGTCAATTCGGTGAGCGACATTACCAGAATATGTCTCTTTCATGACCCTTCCACACTTCCCATGGATTCGAACTCAAACTCAACACCCCATTGTTTAGACAGACGGCCAAGTGACACCAGAATATCTCGTTCCACGTCTTGCCAAGCTGGAGACATGTACCTTTCGTTCGCTAGATATTTCGTTCCTGTCATGTGCCTGAGCAGCTCGGCGTGGGGATTCTCTCCATGCAGATAGACCTTGCGCAGGCGAGGAAATCCATCTGCATCTCTCGCAAAGCGCAGCAGACTCGGAACCAGATCTTGGCTTACCCCAGTGATACGGAGATCTTCAAGACAAGATGGCAGTGCCTCGACCAGCCTCTCGCCTTCTGGGTCGTCATTCAGGATGTTGATGACCGTGCTGGCATTCCTGCCGCGATTGATGCTCCAGGGGCATGGACCAAGAATGGCGTCTTGGCACAAGTGAAGAGTCTTGAGGTTGGTAAAGTGGCGAAGCGTTTTGATGACTGGGCTTTGGACCAGCAAGTCCACCTTTTCTTCACGCATGAGTGGCCAGTCGTTTCTTGCTTGGCTGTGTCTCTCCCAATTAGAAAACTGTTTCAGCTCGAGATGCTCCAGGGTGTTTCTGTGCGGCCACAAGAGTAATACAGCTTGCCACGGTGTGAACTGCTCGGTGAATGAATAATGGGTGTTTTGTTGCTCGCTCATGATGCGGTCCTCGCGAACGTTGCCTCGTGCAAAGATGAAGGTCTCAAGAATCTCTCTCTGAGTCAAAAGATATCTCAAGTCCGCAAAACTGAGCCGGCAATTGACGAGTCGCATGATTCTGATTCTTCCGAGGTGCCGAGACTTGATCTCGACCCCGCCTGCACCATGTACGCAAAGCTCTTGCAGCCGTGGGCAGTGATCCATCAAAGCCGCCTGGATATGCATGTCCCCCAGGACGTAGCTGCCAATATGATGGCCGGCTTTGAGCTTTGGGCGAAAAACAAAGCTCAGCTTTTTCATGGCCGGTACCGGAAATTCCAAGCCATGTTGATACAAGACCTCCTTCTCCTTGCCATAGGCTTGATCCTGCGTCTGCCGATGGGAGCAGTCCACAGTGACTTCGAAGTGCTCGAGGGCAGGGTATCGAAGGATCCGAAGAAGCCACTTGGGGTTTTCGGGGGCAGGAACTCCTGAGAGATCAAGCTCAACATGCCTAACATAACTGAGAGCACCAAAAGAATAGAATGGTGTGCTTCTTGAAAGGACGTTATTCGTATTTCTGGTGCGTCCCTTGACTCCCTTCTTCGTCCCTGAGGATCTGTATCTAAGTAAAGTTTTATCAACACGCATATAGATACGACTAACCTTTCTTCCCGTCAACCATTGTCCAACCGGAAGCAAAGACATACTCGAACATATCCATCAACTTTCCGCGCCATACTCTAGCACCGGGAGTCTTTTCACGGCCATAACGGTCATGACTCAGATGAAGGGTATGCCATGCGTATGGGCCGACCAGGGAGCGAAGCCGGGAGCAGGTCTGAGACAGGTTGACGAGGGTCTTCTGATATGTCCAGGCATCGTCGTCGTAGGCGGTCATGTTACTGTGCCGGCGACGGATGCGGTCAGCACCAAGATGGCCGATAATTTCGATTATGAGATCGTCGCAAAGATGGGTAAACCGCAACCCCCATATGCTAGTTGTTGTTGTTGTTGTTGTTCTATTTAACGCCGTGGCGGCAAAGGCGCAGCCGCCCTTGCGGCCGACCTCCCGAGGGGTATATGGCGTGGAGGGCCGCAGGCTCAAGCTATATACTCTACAGTACACGCCTCTTCCAAACGTCCTCCAAATCTTGCCTATAGGCTGCTACGTGTTCTATCCGTCCCTAGTTCCCGCTGGTTCCCTAGTTCCATTATACTCGTCAGTTCCTCTACGAGGAGGGGGTTCGTTACTAAGGCCTAGGTTCAGGCCTAGGCCCTAGTACCGCGGGCAGATCTTCTGGAAGAAGTCTGTCACGCAGAGAAAGGCCCAGAAGCCTTCATGATCAGTGGTTAGCCCCTTGTAGTACCGATCAAGAGATCCTATTGGTCCTATAGGCTCCTGTGGACTAGAAGGGTGGAGGGTGGGCCACTGAAGCCTCCTCACTAAGGTCTTTCGGCAGTAGACTAGGTGGTCTACCTCCTTTGCCTCCCCACAGGAGCAGGTAAGCAGTGCTTCTGTATGGTTAAAGCGTTGATGGTATTGTTCGAAGTCTCCATGGCCTGACCGGGCTGCTAGGAGATGATGGAGTATAGCCCGTGGTAGGGCTAGTTCAGGAGGGCAGGCGAGGGAAGCCTTAAGCCCTAGTTGGGTGTAGCGGGGTGTTGCCTCTTGCTTCCACCATTTTCTATACTGGCGGCATATGCGTTCTCTAGCTAGCCGTTTGATCCCTGACAGGGTGGCTAGTTGGCCCCTAGGGGCTGGCAGGGTTGTGCCCTCCTTGGCTAGGCTGTCTGCTTCCTCGTTCCCTTTGATGCCTTGGTGCCCTGGGGACCAATGGGTTCGTATGTCATACATCCTAGCTGCCTCTTGGATCTCAAGGAAGGCAGCTTGTGAGGAGTCTGGGACCCTGCCTCGGATCCCCTGGATAACGCTGGTATTATCGATACAGATGTGTATAGGCTGGCCCTGGGAGGTAAGGAGGGCTCGTCGGAGCCCTGCCCTCGCCCCCTCAGCCTCCCCATCAAACACTTCTGCTAAGCCGAGGCGGCCGCAGCCCTGGGCTATACGCTTGTTCTTACGGTATATAACAAAGCCAAACCCTGTGGCGCCATTAGGGGCTTTAGAGCCGTCTGAGTAGATAATAGTATGCTTCTCTGGTACAGTCTTAAGCCAGGCCTGGAAGATCCTCGCTGCTATTTCCTTCGTCTTTGTGGCTATAGGGTTATAGGACCCTGGGAGGTATTGCGGCTGTAGGAGTGCTGGCCTTGGACACTTGGGTAAGAGGCCAGCTGTTCTTTGGAGCCTGGTCTGCTGCCGCCCTGGCTGCAGAAGCCTTGGGACTAAGGGATGTTGTTGGTCAACCTTCTGTAGGCGTGTAGCAAAGCGTAGTCGCGCTGCCTCAAGGGCTACCTCTGCTGTAGGTAGGCCAGCATCTCGGATGAGGGCACTGGTTGGTGTGGTCCTCCAGACAGGTAGGATAGCCCTTGCTGCTGCTGTGATAACTTTTCCAACTCTACAGGCTAGGCCCTTCTGTCCTGTGCCAACTGTAGCTATCTGTAGAGTAGTGCTACTGCTAGTATTGGTGCTGCTGTTCAGGGCTGGTCTGGTCAGGCCTGCATACCAGGTCTCCGCTCCATATAGGGCTATTGGGAGGGCGCAAGCAAGAACTGCTTTTCGA